CAAGAATGTGCCACTCAGCTTAGCCTTATTTGAACTGACCAATGAAATGAATCCCCGTAACCACGCTTTTTTGCTTCTGTACCCGCGCTTCTGCTCTCCTATAAAAACCTCTCACCCCCAACGGGGGGGGGGGGGGCGCAAGTCCCCGAGAGACTTGGTCGCCCCGGGTATCCGTGTATCCTCAATAAACCTCTTGCTACTTGCATCCGGCTGCGTGTTTTCGACTGATCTTTGGGGCGCAGGGGCCTCTCCCGAGGGAAGACGCCCCACGGGAGTCGTTCAGAAAGAGTCTGACTGATTTGGTCATTAGTACAGAGGCAGCAGCTAAGATCTGGTCATTAGTACAGAGGCAGCAGCTAAGCAAGAGAGAGGAGGACAGCAAGCCCTGAGAAGTACTTTCCCTGGGAACCAGTAGGTGGGCCTGGAGCAGGGGGAGAAGAATTTCTACTGACAGCAGCAGGAAGCTTACAACAGAACACTCACTGAGAAGCAGCTCAGCTTCAGGATGGACTGTGTCTGGCAGCAGAGATCTCAAGCTGGCAGTGACCTCTGCAGGAGACCTAGGGGGGAGAGAGGAGGACCAGGGTCCTCTACAATGAAACACTGATTTCCTAATCCAACCTCAGAACAAATTTCCCTCTCTGAGTCTTTCACCCTCTCCCAACCATTTCCTTAGTCTGCAAATTGTGGCAAGTGTTCAAAGGCCTTGAGAAAAAGAAAGACAGGCTCCAAAGGTGACTAAAGTTACAGTCCTAAACTAGGTGCCACTAACAACTTTCAGTCAGTGCCAGCTCAAGTGCAGTTTGCAAGGGTGAGTCACCTGGCCACACCCTGAATATCCTGGCTGTTTACTGCTTCTGGGAATGAGGAGATTTGGGCTTTAAATACAAAAAAACAACAAAAAAAACTGATTACAGTGTGGAGTGAAGGGCCTTGAATAAATGTAATTCATAGCCTCTCTATCCAGGCCTTCCTGACAGATATTCACAAAAGGCACAAGTTCCATCTCTCAGGTGTGAATAGAGAAGGTTCATGGTCTGCAATGGATGGGGTGGGTGGAGAATGGAAGCTCCACATCCTTAGGACAAACATACCTAAATCTGAGACGAAAAACAAAAACAAACAAACAGACAACAAAGACCTATTTTGTGAGATACAGGAAAGGTGAAAAGAAGAGGGATTAAGGGAGAAGAGAAAGAAAGAGATGCGGGGTAGGGTAATGAACCTGAAATTAAGATCATTTATGACTTAGAAAAATCTTAAGGTATCACAAACCAGGATGAGTTTCTAAAAGGCACTTATAGTTCTTCGTGGGGTTGCCTAGAATAAGAGGCTCTTACCCTTTAGATGCAGGAGGCAGGGATCTCTCCAGAGAGCAGAGCAGAGTCTTAACCCACTTTCTCAAATCCCCTTGGCTTATAGCAGCTGTAAATGAAAGTGAAAGCAGCTACTGTCAAACTTCCAGGAAGACCTGCCCCCTTCTAGGGACCAGCTATAAAGTTTCAATTGCATGATAAAGGGATGGACTGAAAATTCTCAGCCTAGTATTAGATTTCTGCTTCTGTGATAATGAAAGTGTTTGCTGAAAATTTAGAGAAATTGATTTTTTTTTATACTCCCTGCATGGTCTACCAAGAGAAACATTTGAAGATAGTCAGAGGGTGGGGTTTTGTTTCTCAAGGTTGAATACTACTGCCTTAATATCTAAAATTATATAAAATGCTGTACAGCTTCTTAACAAGCTTGCTCACCAAAAGCATCCTCTATCCTACTTCTGCCCACCAGGAAAATTATGAGCACTCTATTATATCATTGGCTTTGGTCTATAGGCGATACCTGAGGACAGGACAAACATATCTGCTAACAAATATTTTTTTTCTCCTAAATTGTGAGTTCTCGTATCTATAAAATTAATATAAATTTATAATTTTTATTATTTTTTTAAAAATGCTGCAAGATCCCCAGCGGCAGTAGGCAGCAAAAATGCTGTAGGTGCCAAATGATCATAGTGGGCCATGTGGCGGCAGACAGTGGGCCCTGGGAGCAGCCAGTCCCAGGCAGAGACATGTGGCAGCAGGCAGCGTCCTCTGGGAGCTGCCAGTCTCAGGCAGAGATGGCTGCCAGTCCCGAGCAGTGGCTGTTCCCAGACAGAAGACATGCGGGGCGGGCGGGCAGAAGACAGACACATGGATAGACATGCAGAGTGAGATTGAATATTTATTCAGGGGGTTATGGGGGGGTAGGGAGAGGGGAGAGAGAGAGAGAGAGAGAGAGAGAAGGGGGGAAGTGGAGAAGTGGGGAGAGAGGCAGAAGAGAAGCTCCCTCTTTAAGAGGAAGAAGGAAAAGAGAGTGAGCTCAGGCAGGAAGCTGAAGACCAGCCTGCCTCAGCAGATGGGGGAGGGAGTGGGTGTGGCTTGTCTCTTAAAGAGGCAGAACAAGCATTACAATAATTATCTCCCAGACTGTTTTAAGTAATGATAAAATGCATACAAGGCTCACACACGTATATGCAAATGTATGGTAAATCCCAGTGTCCTCACAGATTATCCTTTATGAGTAATGGAAAATTTTTTATATGTCAGTCTGATTGTAAAAGAGAATGAGTCTGTGCAGCAGTCTTATCCTGTGCTGTTCTCTCTCTTCACTCTAACTGTTATATACTGTTGTCTGCAGCATCTGGGTAGCAAAATCAAATGCCAGCAAGGCTGGCAGAGGTCATACTCAGGTTTGGTGGAATCAAAGTCTAGGACTTGAAGTTGACTGCAGAGCAGATGTGGAGGTTTGCCTGGGAGCTAGTGAATCAGGGAGCACATCTAGGATTCTGATAATCTGTAAGATAATTAGATATTTTTTTAAAAAAGAAATAAATAAAAATATACAGACTTTTACAATTATTAAGGCATCAATGAATTTTATCCAAATGTTTATGTTATGTTTGAATAGAAGGACAGTTGATTCCTTTCTAATAAAATATTCAGTAACTAAATAATGAAGAATTTTATGGAGAAACTTGTAATTCATTCTTTGGCAACATATCTGACAGTGAAACTGTTTGAATGGAATGTTATAGTGTCCTGGGTTTCTTTTTAATAAATAGTTACATCTATCTGCCTGTCTATCTATCTATCCATCTATCTATCTATCTATTTATCTATCTATCTATCTATTTTAAATCCCCACCACAGCTTTCCCTCACTCCACTCCTCCCAGATCCTCTACTTACCCCCGCCCCTGTGCTTCCACCCCTCAATCCATTTCTCCTCTGTTTCTAATTAGGAAAAGACAGGTCTCCCATGGCTATCAACACAACATGGCATATCAAGTTTCAATAAGACGAAGCACCTCCTATGTATTAAGGCTGGGGAAAATAGCCCTGAATGAGTATTATCTCATATGGATATGAGGATAATGGGTAATCCTTACACCCATATGATGATTATCTCATGTAGATAATGAGATAATATGAGGCGTAGGGTCCCAAAAGCCAGTAAAAGTCAGAGGCAGACGCTGTTTCCACTATTGGAAGTTCCTTAAGAGAACCAAGCTACACTGTTGTGGAGGATAATTTAAACTGTGTTGTATTAACATGTTTATGCCCCCAAATATTACTTTAACTGTGTACAGATGAGTTACATTTGTTTAGTTATGAAAACCTGTTAACGTTGTCTGCTTAAGGCACCTGAGTACCCTAATAAAGAGACAACCAACCAATAGCCAGGCAGTGAAAGGACAGGCAGGACTAGCATGCAGAGAGAGTAAATAGAAAAAGGAATCTAGGCTGGAGAATAAAAGGAGAAGGAACTAGGACTAGGAGACAGAGACTCTAGGGGTCAGGCAGACAGATAGACAGACATGGAAATAGCAGGAAAGTAATACATACAAAAGGAAAGGAAGGTAAAAAGTTCTGAGGCAAAATGTAGATTAGAAACAGGATTACTTAAAATAGAAAAGCAGGCAAGAAACAAGTTGATCTGAGGTCAGACATTCATAAATAATAATAAGTTTCCAGTCTTCATTTGATGGCTGACTGGGCTGCAGACAGAAAGAAAAGGTCGTCTTGCTACACAGCTGTCACATATATGCACAGGGCCTAAGTCAGTCCCATGCAGGCTTTCTGGTTGTAAATTCAGTCTGTGTGAACACCTATCAGCTCAGGTTAACTGATTCTATGAGTTTTCTTGTGGTGTGGTTGAACCCTCTGGCTCACATAATCTTTCTTTCCCCTCTTCTGCAGGATTCCTGAGCTCTGCCTAATGTTTACCTAGGGATGTTTACATCAACAGATGTGGAGGGTGTGCTTTGCACTCCAGCTATCTAGAATGGGATCTGTTGGGACAAACATGATCTTTAATTCACTGGTTCTTATGCTTTGGTTTTCATGGAGTCATTAATTTGTGTAACTACGTTTCTTTGGTTTAGAACCGCTATCTTTAACCTGTTAAACTTGATTTTATAGGTCACATGGCAGTTTCAAATTAAGCTCTTTGTGATACAAAGATCTTAGGCAAGTTCCTACAGAAAATCCAAAGACTCTTCTCTCCCCAATAGATGAAGTAGATAGAGACTATTGTGGCACATCTCAGACAGAGGAAGCACCCTTCATCAATATGTAAGTAACATAAAACTGATCATCACCTTTCAACTCTCTCAAAAGATTTCTTGTACCACAGTCCTTGATGGGAAGTTGAGGCAGGGGAGTGGAGTTGAGGAGATTGGCAGAAGTACTCACATATTAAATTTGTCACATAGCAGAAAGACTGGATATCATTTTCTACCAAAGCTATATATAAGGGACACAATATACTTAAAAATTCCTGGTGCTACGTAAATGCTTTATACAGACTCAGAACTACCCACGGTGGCTTGTACTGAGCAGCTGTCTTTTTCAGCTCACTAGCTTACTTCTACTTCTGGAGTACCCCTTACCTATTCATTCATTCATTCATTCATGTAAACAAACTGCCTTTATTTCTATCATGTTTCATCTATCCCTGATCCAATTCCTTCCCTAGCAGAGGAACCTAGAAATCTCAACTGGTACCCCAATATTCTGATCTGTGCCTCTAACAGCCTTGAAACTTATAAATCAACTTACCCACATCAGTCTTTTCTTTTTCTTTGTGGCTACACACAGCTCTCTGTCAGGGGCAGGGGTTCTATGGATCTGTGTCTGTGTGTCTGTGTGTAGGTGGTGCATGTTTACAAGTTGAGAGTAGACATTGGGTATTATAGTATAAATTTCACTGGTAAATTGTCATGTACTTCTTGTGCTTGCTGAGAGCAGGCTCTGTCAACAAAATGGATTGATTTTGTCCCACAGATGACACTGTTTATTCCCAGTCCGCCAAGACCTTTTGTCCAAGAGTAGGCTAGTTTGTTGGGACTGAGACAGAGAAAAAGAAAAAACAGCAAACAGATAAGGGTACTAAAAACAATGGACTTCTGAGAACAGCTATGGGAAAAACCAGTTCCTACCAGGGTTACTATTCCTTATTCCATGCAATAGAAATGTCCACAGTGAGAAGCAGACACTGGAAATTCTTACATATAGATGATCTCCTAGGGACATCTGGATCAGGAACTCCAGCATGACTTTCAGCAAGGCCTCTCCAGTCATTTCTATTAGATGTTGCAAACACCCAAGTTAATGATGTTTTTCTGTCTATCTGATACTTTGAATTTGACCTTTTACTTAGCAGCCTTACACAAAATCTCTAAGACTGTATGTCAGGAACTCTCCAGTAGGTCTTCTCAACTAGGCTTGCCTAGTCACTTCGCAAGGATGTTATAAGTTCCAGATTAGATGACATTTAGTTGTCCACATGCTGTTTACTAATTGTTGCTTTATTTTCACCTCTTGCAAACTTATTAAACTCATTCATTTGCAATCTACAGTACAGATATCAGAGAGAATGCTGAGGGAAGAATAAGGGTTCTCTCTATCACTTCCACCTTGCTCGGGAGACAATTTCTAGCTGAGGTTGGAGCTCACCATTGTCTAGAGGCTTCTCAATGAACTCCTGGAATCTTCTGTCTGTGTCTGTAAATGCTAGGATTTAGAGGCAGCTCTACCATATCCATCTTAATTATACAAACTCTGAGGATGCCAACGGGGACCCTCAGGCTTGTGTATTTGCAGTTTACCCACTGGTCAACCCCCATCCAAAATCTTTTCTTCCTGTTGTTAATTTTCTCAAGCATTTTATTATAGTGAGAGAAAAGAAAAGAACAAAAGCACTGATTGACACGGTCATTTCAAATCCTAGCTATTCTTTATTTTTGTTAATCAAAGCTGTTCTTTAACACTTGTGTTGAGCCTGGCTAAAAACCACATTTAGCATAGGCTTGGTCAGAGGCCTTGCAGCCATCTCACAAAGTGGTTAGAGATTAAGTAGAAACACTAATCTCCTAGTATTATTTAATGCAAGGAAGTTAGGAAATGGAAATAAAGACATGTAATATAGTCGGAAATATAAATGGAACCAATTCAAAATCTCCATAGCAGTTCTGAAATGGGCAATGTATGATATTGGTTTACCTCTTTGTTATATTGCTGTATTTGTTGCATTGATGTTGATTTTCAACTTTTATCCAATTCCTGTTCTTATGAACATAAACCTTACTAGTATGATCTTCAATCATGCAAGAACAAAACTGAGTAGATGACAATAATGCAGATTATTAATTCAGGCATTGTCCAGAATCTATCCTACAATTTTAACTCAAGATTCTATCCACCTATTTTATTGTAATTTCTCTGGAAAACTTTTAGGTGTCATATGTATATGCATAAAATAAAAGTTGCACTAAAGAGAACATGTAAGGGACCATGATAACTTCTCACAGAGGAAATAATGGGGGCAGAAGATCAGATACAAAGGGATTTGGAAGAGATAAGCAAAGTTGTGGGGAAGCCCTTTAATAAGAAGAAGAAGGAGGAGGAGGAGGAGGAGGAGGAGGAGGAGGAGGAGGAGGAGGTAAATATAGAACATAAAAGTTATCTCAGCCAAAGAGAAAGTGAGGGAATCGGTGGTAGCCAGGAAACACTCTTGATCATGGGTGTCATCCTCAGAAGCCAAAGACAGCAGGGGTCACAGGTAACTTCAGGAGATTACTGCCAGCTCGCACAAGCATGGGGATGGAGGAACCTGTGAGGAGTGGAAACAAGAGTCAGAATTGCAGGACAGGGGAAGAGAGAGAGGATTTTCTCCTGCTTTTTTAAATTATTCCATTCATTCTCTTCAGCCCTGATTTAGTTTCCTGCACTACCCCTTTCTTGTTCTGATTCTCCTTTAGCCTATCCTATCCACAGGAACAGGGTAACAAGGAACAAGGATATAATTAACATCCAGGAATACTGGCTACATGTCTAGGGTTAGTCTTACTCAGGTAAACATCCACATCTGTGTTCCTTACTTCTGCTCAGCTTGTTCCGATCACCAAGTTCTTATTTTATCTTATCCTGAAAAGGAAAGATTAGCACAGGGAACACACAATGCTCTGAGTAAGGATAGTAGGGGCAACAATGCTGTCTCTCTAGTACTCACCCTCTGCTACACATACAGGCAAAGCTCTTGAGACAGTGATGGAAAAAGGGAAGGGAGAGAGGGGGCTGTGCTCCTACCTGCATGGTCATGAAGCCAGGCCACAGACTTCCTTTCCAGAAGTTCCCACTCACACTTCAAATCCTCGCTGTTGGCATGCAGCCAGAGTACAGCCAGTACCGTGGCCCAGGTTGAGGGGTCTCCATCCTGCGAAAGAAACAAAGGCTTCTGTCATGCTACATGCAGGGCAGGAAGCTACTCTAGAGAAAGCAGATTTACTATCTCCTTCCTGATCACTCCCTAACTACTGCTACATGGAACTTCCTGGCCCATCCTTATCATACACACTGACAGAGCCTCAAGACAACATTCCATTACCACTTAGAAAAGGGCTGAAGTTGTAAATCCAGTGCACCCATCACCACATTCTATAAGACACCCTAAACACCCCAGTGCATGGATAATTAGACTGTACTCAGAGGAGAAATTGTGTATTTGACTTCTTTTAAGGTATTGTGTTCATGAGTTTTTCTTTGTATCCAGACTTGCCATAAAAGAAATAAACAAAAATCTGTCATACAAAGAATCAATAACATATTTCAAAATATAAACACCAGCAGGGCAGGGGTAGCACACGCCTTTAATCCCAGCACTCAGGAGGCAAAGGCAGGTGGATCTCTGTGAGTCTGAGATCAGCCTGGTCTATAAGAACTAGCTCCAGGACTGGCCCAAAAGTGACAGAGAAACCCTGTTTTTTTATATGATATATTGGGTTTTGTGTGTATATATATATATATATATACATACATACACATATATACATATATAGTATACACACATATATGTGTGTGTAATACAAAAGTGAAAAATTTGTCCTACGTTGGTTGTCTAGTAATGATGGATGCTGGAATTAGGCCAGCTATTAGACACTAATATTTCTAAGACCTAAGTCACAGAGAAGAAAATTGTCATCTATGTGTTTCTAGTGACTGTCTTTTGGAGGGAAAATGGAAAATTCCTCTTTAACAACATGACTTCTCTACTTCTCTCTCTCTCTCTCTTTCTCTCTTTCTCTCTCTCTGTGTGTGTGTGTGTGTGTGTGTGTGTGTGTGTGTGTTGGTAGGAAGCTATAAAACCCAGGGAAAGCATTATAGACAAGTATTACAACCTTGCTATTGATGATATTTTAGAGTTGCAGTCACTTATTATGTTACTCTGCACAGTCTCATTACATGCCAGTTTTCCCACTTGCTTTAATCTGTTTCATAAGAGGACCACTTAAGCCAAGAGTGTAAGACTTCAAAAGAATGATACTCAGGACTAGATGCAAAAATCATCCTGATTTTTAAAATGCACTTCCTTTTTTTCCCAACATAAAATTTTCATTTATTATTTGGAATTTCTCATAATGCACCCTGATTACACTAACTTCAAAATCCTACTACTTCTGCTCTCCCAACCCTTGAGACATCCCCACAAAAAGAAAATGAGCAAGTTCAATTGTGTTGCCTACTTATTTACTGGAGTATGATTCCACTTCCAGTGGCCAACATCTTAAAGAAAACTGAGTCCTTTCCTGCTCCCACCCCTGCCAGGAGTCATCAATTATGGAGAGTTTCACATCAGCCTCCTTACCACAATTTTAAGAGTTCTTGTCAACGGCCTCCTATCAAGGCTGTTTCTTTTTGTTTGGGTGGGGTTGGGTAAGAGACTTTGTCACAGAAGCCATCTTTGTTTCTCATTCTCAACTGTGGTGTGTCTGCAGTCATCAATGCCACTACAAAAAGAGTTCCCTAGCCGTTTATGGATTTTCACATGGTTTCTGGTGATATCATGGATCACTGACATTCACATGGCCTCTGACTTTAGCAGCTGTCACAGACTTCGTTACAGACTACAGACAACAACGTTGCCTCTGAGCCACAGACACCAATATGGTCTCTGAAGGCAACCCTTCCCTTTTGACTTCAACATGGCTTCGGGTGGCAGCACAGACCATAGATATCCAAAATATATAAAGAAGTCAACAAACCAGAAATCAATAAACCAAATCATTCATTTAAAAATGAATATATATCTGATTAAAGAGTTCTCAACAGAAGAATCTCAGTTAGCTGAGAAACACTTAAAGAAATATTCAACATCCTTAGCCACCAGTGAAATGCAAATCAAAGCTACTCCATGCTTTGTTGATATCCTTGGGAGGCCTGCCCTTCTATGAATATAAACTGAGGAGGAGTGAATGAGGGCTCAAGGGGAGGAGAAGAGAAGAGGAGAGGAGAGGAGAGGAGAGGAGAGGAGAGGAGAGGAGAGGAG